TATAAGTCTATTGTTGGGTTGTAGAATTGGGTTGGCAATTGGGTCTATTTATTGGATATAATTGGGGCTGTTTATTTCACGAAGTTGGTTTATTGGGCTTTTAAAGATAATAAAATTATTGTTTTCATTGGGCTTGTGAGTTGTTGGGATTTTTTTTCTAATGTCCACTGGTAATTCAGATTTTTTCGACGTGAAATTTACGGCTGTGAATTATTCTGCATGGGAATTTCAATTTCAACTCTTCGTTAATATAGATGGGGGTGATTCAGCTCCCATGGATCCTTGGCAAAATGGAAGATCAAAGATGCTTGGTTTACAACTTGAATTTTAGGATCTATTGATCCTATGATTATTCTGAATCTCAGGCCGTATAAGATTGTTAAGAGTACATGGGAATATTTGAAGAATCATCGGGACAATATAGCTTGACGATTTCAATTGGAACCTGACATTGCTAGTTATACTCAAGGCGATCTCTACATTCAGGAGTATTTTATGGATTTCAAAACTTGTGGGCAGAGCTTGCTGATATAATTTATGTAAGGATGCCATATGGTTCTCTTGCTGTAGTTTAAGAGGTTCATGAGCAAAACAAGATAAATCAATTTTTGATGAAGTTGCAGCCTGAATTCGAGGCTACTCGATCTAATTTGATGAATCGCGATCCTTCTCCTTCTTTGGATAAAAGAGCAACGTCTTGCTAAGCTACTCACCAACAAGACAAGCAACTAACTAATGCATTTGTCTATGCTGCCATGCATCTCTCTCTGTGTGTCAACGACTTTGCTGTCGGCGTTTACAGTGTCTGGGTCTTCATAGAATCAGCAAATTCTGGCTTCTTGTGTCGGTAATCTCTTGTGTAGTGGAGCGAGGACTTCTTCCTGGTTGAATCGGTAGATTTCGGTGTCTTCGAGGTGAAGATTGTGGATTGCGACTGAGGTGTTAGGGGTTGTAATTGGATTGTTTATTGTGGGAACGTAGAATTGGGTTGGGAATTGACCTGTTTATTGGATATGAGGCTATAATTGGGCTTGTCTATTGTTGGGTTGTAGAATTGGGTTGGCAATTGGGCCTATTTATTGGATATAATTGGGGCTGTTTATTTCACGAAATTGGTTTATTGGGCTTTTAAAGATAATAAAATTATTGTTTTCATTGGGCTTGTGAGTTGTTGGGATTTTTTTTTCTAATGTCCACTGGTAATTCAGATTTTTTCGACGTGAAATTTACGGCTGTGAATTATTCTGCATGGGAATTTCAATTTCGACTCTTCATTAATATAGATGGGGGTGATTCAGATCCCATGTGTCCTTCAGAATTGGCAAAATGGAAGATCAAAGATGCTCGGTTTACGACTTGAATTTTAGGACCTATTGATCCTATGATTATTCTGAATCTCAGGCTGTATAAGACTGTTAAGAGTACGTGGGAATATTTGAAGAATCATCAGGACAATATAGCTTGACGATTTCAATTGGAACCTGACATTGCTAGTTATACTCAAGGCGATCTCTACATTCAGGAGTATTTTATGGATTTCAAAACTTGTGGGCAGAGCTTGTTGATATAATTTATGTAAGGATGCCATATGGTTCTCTTGCTGTAGTTTAAGAGGTTCATGAGCAAAGCAAGATAGATCAATTTTTGATGAAGTTGCAACCTGAATTCGAGGCTACTCGATCTAATTTGATGAATCGTGATCCTTCTCCTTCTTTGGATAAAAGAGCAACGCCTTGCTAAGCTACTTACCAACAAGACAAGCAACCTTGATTACGTAAACAGATACGACGGAAGGGAAAGGGAAGGGTAGAGACATGCGGAAAGTTCAATGCTTTAGCTGCAAAGAATATGGACATATTGCTACCCACTGTGCGAAGAATAGCAATTATTGCAAGAAGCCAGACATACTATCAAAGAGTGCCCTACTTGTCCTCAGAATTGTCAGGCTAATGCTTTTGAGGCTATAGTTGGTTCTTCCTTTTCCATTGGTGGTGATTCATGTGTCTTTACTCTTGAGATGGTCCAGCAAATGATTATTTCAGCCTTTTCAACCTTGGGGCTTCGTAATGGTTACCTACCCTTATCATCACGGCTTGTTGATTTTGGTGCATCTAATCACATGACTAGCTCTACTGATACGCTTAGCAATATTTGGACATATAAGGGATCCTCATTCATTCAGATTGCTAATGGTAGCCAGTTACCTCTTCATGCTGTTGGAGATGTTAATTCCTCAATTAGACATGTTTTCTCATCTCCTGCACTTTTTACTAGTTTTATATCTGTAGGCCAGTTGCAGTTGGTTGATAATGACTGTGATGTTCGATTTTCTTGTAATGGTTGTCTTATGCAAGATCATGTGTAATGGTGAAGATACATGCGAAGGGGCCTAAAGTTGGTCGATTATTTTCTATACACTTTTCCATTCCTTCAATTATATCTATGGTACTAATGTTAACAATAAGAATAAAGTATGGCACAGACGGTTGGGTCATCCTAACTCCGTTGTTTTATCTCATTTAATAAACTCTGGTTTGTTGGGCAATAAAGATCAATTTTCATCTCATGTCTCTTGATTGTTCCACATGCAAATTAGGTAAGAGAAAGTCTCTTCTATTTCCTTCTCATAGTAGCCGGATTGAAAGAAGTTTTGATTAGATTCATAGCGAGGTGTGTGGGGTTTGTCTCCAGTTATATCTTATGCGCATTATAAATACTTTGTTATATTCATTGATGATTATGGCAAGTATACGTGGATATATTTTCTTCGTTCTAAATACGAGGTATCTTCTGTATTTCAACAATTTGTTGCTTATGCTGAAACTCATCAGCCATTAAAGTATTAAGATATGATTCAGAAGGTGAATATATGTCTCATAAGTTTTATGATTTCCTTCACCAAAAAGTCATTGTCTGCTAATGTTCTTGTTCATATACACCTCAGTAAAATGATGTTGCTGAATGTAAAAATCGTCATTTGTTAGATGTTCGTACATTATTACTTGAATGTTCTGTTCCATCTAAATTCTGGGTCGAAGCTTTATCTATGACAGTCTATTAATTAATCGATTTCCCTCCAGTGTTTTGAACTTTGAGACTCCATATTATTGCCTGTATCATCAGCATCCCAACTATCTTGATATGCATACATTTGGTTGTATTTATTTTGTTAATTTACCTCCTCATGAACGCAACAAACTTTCTGCTCAATCTATTAGATGTGCGTTTATGGGTTATAGTATTTCTCACAAAAGTTATGTTTGCTATGATCCTTGCTCTAATAGATTCAGATATCTCATCATGTTGTGTTTTTTGAAAATCAATATTTCTTCCCCACTCATTTCGAGTCTTTGACTGAGATAAATGTCTTCCGCACTTTGACGACCTACCTTATATCCCAAAACAGTTCAAGCCTGTATTTGTGTATGAACGACGACAACCAACTTTGCCCCTTCCTGAGCTTGCTCAGACGATGCATACAGAGAATGAGTTGAGTTCTGGCACTATTCCTCACCACTCTACTAGAATTTCTCGTTCTTATGATCAGTATGGATTTTCTCGCACATCTCTTAATGCCACCGTGCCATCCATCCCTATTCCTACATGGCATTTTGAGGCTATCAAGCATGAATGTTGGCGGGAGGTAATGGCGAGAGTTGGGCTATAAGATTATGCACAGCGTGATTGGGCATAGATTAAGCTGTCATTTTAGAAAACACCTATTGAGTTTTATTTGAGTGAGATCTACTATGCCAATCGAAGAAGAGGATGTTATATTACAGAATGGTGCTATTTGTGTAAGAGGGATGGAGAAACGGTCGATCATTTGTTCATTCATTGTGATGGTGTTCGTTGGATGTGGAATGATATTCTGGCTTCGCAACATATGAGTTGGGTGTTCCCAAAGCGTATCAAGGACGTGGTGTGGGCATGGAAGAGAAAGTTTTGAGATAAGAATAGCAAGCTAGTCTGAGATCTCATCCCAGGATGCATAGTTTGGTGTGTATAGAGAGAAAGAAACGGCAGATGCTTTGAAGACCAAATACGAACGACAGAGCAATTTAGAGAATTGTTTTAATTGACTTTGTACAGTTGGTTTAAAGCTGCAACAGTTAGTCCGATAGAAGGGTTGCTTATCGTTTCTATCTTGTTTAACATGATAATGCACTCTTTGTATATTATCTTTTATTTTTGATTTATAAAATTTACGTGATTTACCTATCAAAAAAAATATATATGAATTTGTGTGCTTTGTGCAATTGTTGAGTCTGTTCTTGTATCTCAAACTAACACTTTTGTTTTCNGATATCCTAGCTTCGCAATATATGAGTTGGGTGTTGTCAAGGCGTTTAGAAGACGTGGTGCGGGCATGGAAGGGAAAGTTTCGAGATAAGAAGTGCAAGCTTGTTTGGGATCTCATTCCAGAATGCATTGTTTGGTGCGTGTGGAGAGAAAGAAATGGCCGGTGCTTTGAAGATCAAACACGGACGATAGAACAGTTTAGAGAATTGTTTTATTTGACTTTATTTAGTTGGTTTAATGCTGCAACCACTAGTCCGATAGAAGGGTTGCCTAATTTTTTATCGTTCATTTCTTGTTTAAACTGATATGCACTCCTTGTGTGTTATCTTTTGATTTTGATTTATAAAATACGTGATTACCTATCAGAAAAAAAAAGATCTACTATGCCAATCATTCATTTCAAATATTGATAGAAAAGTACAAAGGGTAAACAAAATTTTATGTGAATTACTAATTTTTCACTAGGATAAGAAGAAATGTTCCTGTGGACTAAGAAAAAAGAATATATCAAATGTTGCTCATATACTAAAAGCTTGTTTGGGAAGTGTTTATAAATAGATTGAAATGAGTGGTGGATAAGTGAGTAGTATTTGTTGGTCCCACGAAATATGCTTGATAAGAATTGGTTTTTTTTTTGACTGTTAATAAACACTTGCAAAACATAGGCTGATATCAATTGAATGTTGAATTTATTGTAGGAATTATATCAAAAAGCACTGTCAATCAAGTCAGCTATTCCTCATCCTAGAATAATGGGAATTATTCGCGAGTGTGGTGGAAAAATGCATATGGCAGAGCGACAATGGACCGAGGCGGCTACTGATTTCTTTGAAGCTTTTAAGAACTATGATGAAGCTGGGAACCATAGGCGTATCCAGTGTTTAAAGTATGTCTCTAACAAACCCTTTGTGTCCCTCAATCCTTCCCCTATTTGATTGTCACTTTCAACTTATTACATGGTATAAAATTACTTGGGGATGCATTACTTTTATTTTCGTAGTATGCAAGTAAAGCATCCTTAATGAAATATGACCTTTGCAATTAAAGTTAATATATATCTTACCTGAACGATTATTTTAGGAAAAATTACAGCGACTGTTCACAAGCTATTCAATATAAAGTAGGTCTTCAATCTTCAATCTGTAGCAGCTTGGTCCTCAATGTTTTGATTTTGTAGCAACTGCATCCCCTGTGGACAGTTTCTATCCAGTTGAACGTTAAGATTTTAAGTGTCTAAATTTCTGAAGGTAAAATGATAAAATACCGAATCTTAATTAAAATAAAAGGAAAAAGAAAATTTAAAAGCCCCCCTGATACATCCCGGAAATTGCTGTGAAAGAACTTGTTTATATAAACATAATGTTGCATATGCGGAATCTGAGTCTGTAAATATACTCCTACCATCACAATTTAATGGGAGGACCTGCAAGAGCATGTTGTTTTAGGTGAGAGAGAAATACATGAGCATGTGGCATGACTTTTTCGTTTTTCACCCTCAAAGTTAATGGCCAAAAATCCTCGCTGCTTGTATTATGTAATTCAAGTAAAGCCATTTCTGAAAGTGAATTATTATATATTATTCGGGGATGTCTTGTGAAGGAAATGAGATAATTCAATTGTGGATGGAGTGACTAATTTTTTGCTTTGCTGCTTGCCTGGATTACACCTGAAATCCAACCCCTTTACATTCTAATGTGATACATGATGGTTCTCCTCCTTGGCAGATATTTGGTTATGGCTAATATGCTGATGATATCTGAGGTCAACCCATTAGATGGTCAAGAGGCTAAGCCGTAAGTTGTTTAATGGGTTTTAGCAACTTATTACGTTCCTGCAGCGTAGAATAATAAATCCTCCACCTCACCTGCTTTTGTTACTTGTAGATATAAAAATGACCCTGAGATATTGGCCATGACAAACCTAATAGCGGCATATCAACGGAATGAGATATTGGAGTTTGAGAAAATTCTGAAGGTACAACTTTTACATGCTAACATGTGTTATCTTCTGTTGGAATACTACTAGTCTATCTTGTTTCTTCTTGTTCTGAAACAAGTCTGGTGGGAATTATTTCAGAGTAACAGAAGGACGATAATGGATGATCCATTTATCCGAAATTACATTGAAGATCTTTTGAAGAATGTGAGAACACAAGTGTTGCTTAAGCTCATTAAGCCTTATACAAGAATTCGGATCCCCTTTATATCAAAGGTGATACAAGATTTAATATACTTTTCTTTTATATTACTACGGATTATTTGATTTTTTTTATTGTACGCTGTTTGGTTTTTGTTCTTTGTTTTCTTGGTCTACATTTTTCTTGGAGGTGCATGCAATGGGCATGGATGCTGTGGTTGGTTTGTAAAATTCCACTTTAACTTCCCTGTGAAAACATGGGACCGCACTGAGTTTTTGAATATGCCCAGGTCATAGAGTCCTATCCGTTTGCTAATGTACTAAGTTATTTCAATTCATAGACAATAGAGCTGGCTTTGAAGTTATGATGATATGATTATAGGCAACACCTATGTGTAGTTGAAGAGGTACACATTGTTCAGCAGGGTTATCATTGAAATAGTTAGATTGAAGTAAAGGCTGCAGTAGGTGATTTATGGAGAAGCACTGACACTTTTCACTTGCAGGAACTTAATGTGCCAGAAAAAGATGTTGAGGAGCTGTTAGTGTCCCTTATCTTGGATAATCGTATTGATGGGCACATTGACCAAGTGAATCGGCTGTTGGAACGTGGTGACAGGTTTACTCGTCAACTTCTTCCTTCCATTTTTTTCTTGATGAATTTCAGCTTTTTTTCTTGAGTACAGCTTTTTCTTTCACATTCCAATTTATTTTTATCACAATAATATACGCCTGCAGGTCAAAGGGAATGAAGAAGTACAGTGCGATAGAGAAATGGAACACACAGCTTCGGTCACTGTATCAAACGGTTGGCAACCGCGTGTCTTGAGATTGCTGTCACATGGATATGGGGTGGATGATATTATCGGTGTGTGGGAGCTTGGATTTTGTTGTCGTTTTCAATCAGGCATTTCTTCTTGTTTAACCATTGTTAAGATGCCTGCAACGATTTTCAACTGCTGCTTGTGGGAAGGAAGGTGTAAGATTTGGGACATCATGAGTTTTTTCAACTTATTTGATGCGAACCACATGGAAGCATTTGATTCTTAGCAGTCAAATTCGTTTGGCTCTTAAAAGCTATATTATCCCTCTTGTTTGCAGTACACTGCAGGTATGTTGCTTCTTGTTCTGGATTCAGAAAACCCAAGTATTATAGAAAACACGCAGTTGAATAACACAGCCAATATGTTCCCTTCACTGAGATGTTGGGAATTATGCAAAGCTTATGATTGCATTCTTCAATCCGTATGCCTTGCTACAGATCTAGAGGGTTTATGCATTGTAATCAAGGCTCATGCCGGTCTTGACTTGTGAGATCTTGGGAGTAGTCGCCCTATTTTGAAGGGGTTTATTTACTCAACTCGAGGTCGAATATGAATTACAGAATTAGCATGATTTGCTAGTGTTCTATTATCTGGTGCAAAGGCACAATGCCCACAATTTGGTTAACATGTCACTGTGATATCAGTGAGCCCTAATACTGTTATTACATGAACATGGCATGCCAAGATTACAGTAGGTAGGTGGTGCGGATTGCACAAAATTAGACAATACTGAATTAAAAAAATTAAAATTCTGTTCTTGATAGGAATCGGCCTTATCCAATTTTGTATACTAAATATCGGTGGTGTTATGTTGCATTGGATGCGTGTATATATCATTTTCTCAAAATAACTTTATCTGACTCTGTTAGCTTAAAAATGAAAATATCTGTGGCCAAATTGGTGCAATATGTCGAGTTCTTAAACCACTTGGAGAGGGCACAAAGCCGTTTTTGCTCCAATTATAACTTGGCTGTAGATTTTTCAAGTCGACCTCATTCGAACAATCTCGACTTCAATCAAGACCACTCGATATTAGGGGCAAGTGAAGTGCAGATGATCCTTTGCACCAACGCACACATCAGCAAGTGTGGAGCTAGTATGTTACATTTGGAAAAATGGCCTTCTGGTAATATTATGCAGTCATGAGCTAGAGTTGAAGCAACGGACAATCCTAATCAGAAGAATTCAACCATTGTGTAAACACGAAAGAAACATATAAGACCATGACACGAGCTTAACGCAAGGGGAAAATAATCAACCGACTTAGTCAAAAGTATGAAAAACATTATAGTTATCCAATTGTTCTAGGTTCATAATACCAGAATAGTTGAAGACACTAACAACCTGGACTACTAAAACAAGGTATGTAGCAAACAAGCATGCACTGAAGAACTGCACTGGAAAAGTGAAAACAATGCAAAAAGTAGAAACTAGCAAGAAATCAAACAAAGTTGATGTCAAAAGAACACATCCTAACAAGGAATGGAAATTTCATCAATTGACCTGCCCTTCTTGTCTACCTTCATTCATCTAAAGATTTAGATTTCTCACTTGGCCATCATGACCCTGACGAACTCATCGTAGTTAATCTGCCCATCGCCATCCACATCAGCCTCTCGGATCATCTCATCAACCTCCTCGTCTGTAAGCTTCTCACCTAGATTTGTCATGACATGGCGGAGTTCAGCTGCAGAAATGAAACCGTTCTGGTCCTTGTCAAAAACCCGGAAAGCTTCTTTGAGCTCCTCCTCAGAATCGGTGTCCTTCATCTTCCGGGCCATCAAGTTGAGGAACTCTGGGAAGTCAATTGTCCCATTCCCATCAGCATCGACCTCATTGATCATATCTTGAAGCTCGGCCTCAGTTGGGTTCTGTCCCAGAGAGCGCATCACAGTACCAAGCTCCTTAGTAGTGATGCAACCTGTGGCAATGTGTTTAGATGAATTATATAAGAGCAAACTGCAGAAGTCCATTAACAAAATTTCATCTTAAATAGCTGAAATGAACATCAAGAGGAATATAAATTATGATACAAGAAGCATGTGAGGCAGAACACATATCTTGTAGATGGAAGTGAATAGGTTTAGAAAGTAAGGAGAAATTTATTAATACCTAAAACATCTTTTCACTGCAATTCAAGCATAATAGATTGAAAGTTGTAAAATCAGTTACTATGACTAACAAAATCAACATGTTAAAGAACAAGGGCTGCACACACAAATAACCAGTGTATGGATTGCTATGATGCATCGACACCAACGCGTGGGTCCGAAAATATGCGATTTTTCAAATATACTTGTTATTAAATTCTCTTACTGAAATCTTTTAAATATGAGTACTTATTTATTTAATAATAATTTTGAGTTAAAAATAAATAATATTTTTTATGAAGAAAGAAATACGAGAATGATAAGAGTGTCGATACTCGACACTAGTATGACACTGATACACTACCCTAGTTGAAATATCCGTGCAACACCGACAAATTGTCTTATCCGTTTACATGGATTTGTAATTAAAGTTCAACTCAATTGGAAGAGATCTTTTCAGCCACGTAAAGATCTTGTGCTACGTATTCGAATTCTGCATCATGAAGACTTCACTAGAAAGGCAAATCAATAAGTATTTATGATGATCAAGTTCATATGACACATATAAGCTCGACATTTACTCATCAGTAATTTAATTTAACCCAATCTAACACGAGCAGTGGAGAAGGAAAGTGGATTAAATATGAGTTTCAACAACCCCATATTCCAAAATAATGGAATTCAAAAGATCCAGCAGGTTGTAAACATTTTTAGCACAAATGGACAAACTCATAACTCAACTGCAAATGTGCAATAAAGAATGAAAATCCACCAATTGATCCTCCTCCAGAAGACCAGAAGCACCCAAAGACATTGCCAAAATCAACAAATTGATTTATTATTGTCGTTAAAAATTATGATGAGTTCATTCTCAATTGAAGCCCTTACAATACAAAAATCAAAGCATTTGAAGAAATACTGATTTACACACTAGTTGGATTCTACAGGGTGATCTATATTGTAGCACAGAATTAAGATAGATCATAGAATAATAAACATGAAGAACCTATAATAGAAACAAAAATAAAGGGTAACATGGAAAATCTGGAAAGAAGAAAAATTCAAGAACCATCAAACAGATCTGGAAAATAATGGATGAACAAACAAAAAACCCCACAATTAATTTCAATACATAAATACACACGCGTATCTGAAAATAACAGATCAACAAACAAACCACCAACAATTTGCACATATTTATATACTACCAGCAAATCATTTTAACACAAGCACATAAACACGCATATAAATACCATCGCCATCCTTGTCAAATAGGGAGAAGGCTTCCTTGAATTCGGAGATCTGATCTTCCGTTAGCTGGTCCGCCATTTTTCTATATGATGTTACTGCTTATCCTTTTCTTTACTCCAATACGATTCCGAATGTATAGCACCCTGCACTGGGGGTAGGCTCGGGTATACGAAGAAATTGCAGGGAAAGAGTGGCGTTAGAATTTGAATTGGAAAATTATGGTCGACAATGTTGACATTGTCAAAATCTGGACGATTGATTTAAAAAGTAATTTTTATAATTGATGAATATGATATTATCAAGATTGTAAAAAAAATTGTACAAACAACATAATTATCACATTAATTATTAATTTCTTGAAATAAAATTAAAACCTCACAAAGGGTGATTATTTTTCTTATCAAGGAATGTTACTATATTCCCGTTCGTTTCCCTTTCTCTTTTAATAAAAGAATGAATTTTTTGACTTTTTTTTCAAACAAATGGGCCCCACTACGAGACAAACTGGTCAACAAAAAATGACCGCTTTTCACTGCAACGGTACAAATTTTCATTAAAATTGGATACAAATACAAGCTATGAATTCTTTACTTGAGTCGACGATTGACAAGTGTAATACGTTATGATTTCGACGCGCTTTCAATGATTCACGAATCAACTCTATAGTACCGAAAACGATAATGGCTCGTACTTGACAATAATGAGTGTCAATGGCAACGAGTTTGTTATCTTTAATTACTCGAGTTAAAACCTCTTGTAAACTTCGTAATGTAAATGTAACACAAACATTGATCACGTGACACTAACCCAGTAGTATTTTGAAATTTACACTACATTTTCCTGGTTTGGGCAAGAAGATTTGGAATTTACACTACATTTTCCTGATAATGTGAAGCAAAGGTAATTCTATCACTTTTGTATTTGCTGTTTTATTTTTCAGTTATTTCTTCAATTAGTTTCAACAATTTTATTAATTTATATTTACAGGGACAGTAATAGATAACAAAGAATATATATTTCCATAGATACTTCAATTAGTTTCTTTCTTTTAAAATCTAAATAATTTTATACGCACTTTTACAAAAATTCATAATTTTAATGCAACTCCAATAGGAAAAAGTATATTTTTTATTCAATTATTCGTAAGAACTCAAATTTCTCATTGATTTCAAAAACTAATCATAATAATCAAGATTATTGATGAATAATCATGTTATAAATACTATATACATTTTTTAATATATATTATATGAATTTTTTTAAGAATTAATTTTTTTTCCAAATTTTATCTTTTATTTTTTGTTTAATAGTTTATCAGTTTTTATACCCTTATTAATGAATCTTGAGCCTTTGAGTATCTTTCTATTTGTTGCCTTATTTAATTGATTTTTATATTAATAGATTATAAAAATAATATATTTCAACTCTATTTTCATCTATTTTTATATCAAACTTTATTTTTATAATTTTTCAATATAAAAAATCGAAACGGACCAAATTCCATTTCGATTATATAGTTAGATATGAAATCAATAGTTTCAATTTTAAGATTCGAATTGATACCCAATTCGATTTGATCCTCTTTGAAACCGAACCAGACCGCACCCCTCTTAGTACATAATATTAGAATGCATGTTTACTCAATTCATTCGTATTACTCATAAACCCCCAAAAGTCAAAGATTACAAAGTTGAGAAGCTTTCATGTCCATCACAATACTAAAATTCACCACAACCAACTCCAAAAAAGCATTTCGGGAATGTCTAATTCTATTTTTATTCCATCCGTCTGATGAATGGAAGCATCCCAAAGAATCGATCTTTCTTTTAGTTGTATTCAATAAATTTATTTGTTCAAATAGGTCCTACAAGACGTCTTTGGTACAAGATTATAAATGATCCATATAATTGGTCCAGGATGTGCGCATAGGGAGACGGTGTTCCAAATGTAGAGCATCAACTAATGTAGTGTAGATACCCACAATACCTTACCATATGCGGATCAGATAGCACTCGAGAATATCAATGAAAATTTTTTGAAAGTAAAATGTATCACTACATGCGAAACATATACCCCTTGTGCATACAAGAACTAGCATCAGCAGATTGGTTTTGACGCAAGGGGAAACTGAACCAAAAATAGGATAACACAACATGCCGGAGTCGAGAACATATGAACGGAAATATGCACCACCATCACCATAAATGCCTTTGACCTCATTCTTTGGATTCCAATAATATGAGATTTTCTATGATAAGAGAGCATGTTTGGTATGACTTTGGCTTTTGCTTACCGTAGAAAACTTTTGGTATGATTTTTGATTCCAATAATCTCAAAAGCTCCTTTTGCCTTTTCAAAAACCTTTTCAAGTTGTTTCATCAAAAAAAGATGGAAGTTATCAAAAGGTCAGAATAGTAGTAAACAATTATTAATACAGAAAGAAACAACAATTTCCATTAACAAACTATGAAAGCATAGCTAAACACAAACTGAACAGCTAAAAACCAATTATCAATGCAACAATGAGCAGCAGCAAAAAACATTCTAGTGAAACAGAACTACACATCCAATTCTGTCCGATGAAACTACTGTAAAACAATTAGCAACAACAGCATACTAAGTTATTCCCAATAAATTTGGACCAAGCAAGTCATTCTCCACTCAGTTCGGTTCATTGCTAGATCTACTAAAACTGCAAAGCCACGTTAGTTTCAATATATCCTCCCTCTTCTGGCTTATTCTGCCTTGATCACGTCATTCTCATGAACAAAAACCTATCTGTTTTAAGTTTACACAAAACATTTCCCCCAACCCCTAAGTCGCCCTTCCCTAATATATTCTCAATTTTTCTTCGGAAAGCAAGCACCACATTCTGGAACAGAATTTTCTTCATATGGACCAATCAGGCTGCCTCGTATGCCAAGAAGGTGGCATAGCACACACCATCCTGCAAATGAATAAGCCCGCTATAGCATCAACNCAGGGTCGGTGGGGGCCCTCAAAGTTGGGGTTCAACCTTTTTTTTATAAATGATCCATATAATTGGTCCAGGATGTGCGCATAGGGAGATGGTGTTCCAAGTGTAGAGCATCAACTAATGTAGTGTAGATGGGTACCCACAAGACCTTACCATATGCGGATCAGACAGCTCTCGAGAATATCAATGAAAATTTTTTGAAAGTAGAATGTATCACTACATGCCAAACATATACCCCTTGTGCATACAAGAACTAGCATCAACAGATTGGTTTTGACGCAAGGGGAAACTGAACCAAAAATAGGATAACACAACATGCCGGAGTTGAGAACATATGAACGGAAATATGCACCACCATCACCATAAATGCCTTTGACCTCATTCTTTGGATTCCAATAATATGAGATTTTCTATAATAAGAGAGTAAGATAGGGGCATGTTTGGTATGACTTTTGCTTTTGCTTACTGTAGAAAAGCTTTTGGTATGATTTTTGATTCCAATAATCTCAAGCCTTTTCAAAAACCTTTTCAAGTTGTTTCACCAAAAAAAGATGGAAGTTATCAAAAGGTAAGAAAAGTAGTAAACAATTATTAATACAGAAAGAAACAACAATTTCCATTAACAAACTATGAAAGCATAGCTAAACACAAACTGAACAGCTAAAAACCAATTATCAATGCAACAATGAGCAGCAGCAAAAAACATTCTAGTGAAACAGAACTACACATCCAATTCTGTCCAATGAAACTACTGTAAAACAATAACCAACAACAGCATACTAAGTCATTCCCAATAAATTTGGACCAATCAAGTCATTCTCCACTCAGTTCGGTTCATTGCTAGATCTACTAAAACTGCAAAGCCACGTTAGTTTCAATATATCCTCCCTCTTCTGGCTTTTTCTGCCTTGATCACGTCACTCTCATGAACAAAAACCTATCTGTTTTAAGTTTACACAAAACATTTCCCCCAACCCCTAAGTCGCCCTTCCCTAATATATTCTCAATTTTTCTTCGGAAAGCAAGCACCACATTCTGGAACAGAATTTCTTCATATGGACCAATCAGGCTGCCTCGTATGCCAAGAAGGTGGCATACCACACATCATCCTGCAAATGAATAAGCCCGCTATAGCATCAACCTCTTGCTCAGGCTCAGGCTCCTTTGCTCTATGAAAGCCAACCCCAACTTTCTAGCGAACAATGATTTTTCCATATTAGCCCCCCTGATTGGGCTCCACTTTAATGTGATTTTGGAAGAAAATGTATTTTGGAATAGTGAATTTTTTAGAGAATGCATGTTCAAAAGATAAGAAAAAGTTTTGGGTTTACATGTAATATTATTTTATGGAAGAATGAGCGGACTTTGAAAAAATGTATTTTGAAAAAAATGGAACCTAAACAGGAGCTAAGTGCCAACATACTCCAAGAGAAATCAATTCAAATCAATGACTACCAAAGAAGTTTTCAGAATGCAAAGAAAAGAAATATAACTCCAGCAAAATTCTAGAGGAAAAAGTTTGTCTGCCCATTGAAAGACCAAGAGCAAAGCTTTAGACGAACTGGAAAAGATGAACTAGCTAAAGTCTTGATAACTAATAGCAATATAGCATTCTATAGAAACTGCTCTTAGGAATGAGTTTTGGAAGTTTGGACCAACGTTAGAAATTTGGTATACTGGCAATAGCTCCAAGAACAAAAGCATTGATCCTCACAAGTGACAAGCAAAAGGTTAAAATTTTGTTCACTCTGGGTCGGAAATATTTGCTTCTTATAAGTTAGGAGAGTGTTTGGGAACTCAACCGATGCTGAGTTGCCAAAACATAAAATTCATTCAACTATAATAATTTACTGAAACGCTTGCTTTTAAGAAAATCAATAATAAGCTTATTTGGTATATTTCTGATGCAGGCAAAAATTAACTATGTTCAACAAAATTAATAAATAAAAGATAGAATGAAAAGAACTGCTGCAGTGAAATTTCAAACGCTTTGCCTGCACTACCAAAGTTCCTGCAATAGAAATGATTACAAGACCAAACTATAAAGTAGGTTAGTTAACAATCAAGCCACCAAAATTGATTCTCTATGCAGCCAACTACATCAACACAGAGAAATAAATGTCCAGCTTCAATCACAAATCTAGTTGGCACGTGATGTTCAAAAAAAAAAAAAATAGTACATATCTGTGAAATCGAAGAAACATGGACAACAGGTATAAAAAGGACCACATTTTTTAGCATATCAATAAAGCTAAGAATTTTGGATAAAAGGAAAAAGATAAAAATCATCAACCAAACACAAAGATCAATAGTTAGAGAATGATAGTTGATTAACACCCTTAAAATCCCAAAGAGACATATGTAGGGGCATCATTCATGGTTCTCAATCCTTTTCAAAAGATGTTATTGGAATCGAAATACGACATCGTTTTTAAAAATATTCGACAATAGAAATACTTGAATAAAAGGAAATACATGTTTTAGATTCTGGTCTTTAGGTAAACTTTTTGCTACAAGGAAAGACTTCATTTGCAGAGTGCCGGAACTTCAGAAGAATCACCACAGTCCAAAACTAAAAGTTTTGCATTTATGAAGAATCTGCACAATGAATACATAAAACATAAAAGTCTAATTTGGAGGAAAGTAATTTTTAACATAGAAAACAGATAAACTGAAGCTGAGATCCATATCTTGGAAAATTTAATTTCAATATTAACATATAACTAGTTATATGTCAGAAGCCTATTGAGCAATGACACGTGGAGGCTAATAATTTTTTTCTTAACATCAAAAGATAAAAGCACAAAAAAATAAAAATAAAATAAAACAGATGCAGAGAACATTCAAACATCTTAGAAGCCCCTCAGGTATAGAACGTATTCTTTAATCTTCCACCAGCAAGACAGCGAGTATTCAGAAATGTGAAAAACTATCACCTCAATCATGCAATCAACAATAAGAAGTAACTTATTAGAGGATGCAAAATTTTACTTATCAGACTTACCTAAACAGAGCACCCAACAGAACAAGATAAGCAAAAAGCATGGCCTGAAAGATAAGATGTGGAGTCAAATTTTGTAAAATGATAGCACGCCAAAAATATTACAGATAATTAGAGACCAAAAACCACCATCAAATCAAAGAAGGAAAGGACTTGTCAGCAGTCACCCACACATCACCCCCAACCAAAAAAATATGAAAAAGAAAAGGAGATGGCATTTATCACTATTAGGTGGATAAAAAGATTTCCTCATCTTCTTCTATGCTGTGTGTACTTATAGCTGTTTCAATATGATTTACTAGCTCAGTAGATCATCAAATTGGAGATTATGATGAGGTTCAAGTTATTCCTCTTGAAAATTATTTTTTAAGAAACAATTAGAGTAATAATGTGTTGGTTAGTTTAGAGTTATGTTCAGATCTCTATAATTATTAAAGTACATTTAACTTCCTCTTTTTTGCTTTACATTGATTTTGAACACTCCACCTTACAGATGATAATACAACCACCACATCTAATAATTTAATTATTTTCCCACAACAATAGTAGTAACTAGTAACCAAATGATCTTATAAGAAAATAGCTACTATTGAAGCATCGTCGGTTATTCATGCGTAGTCTTCCTTTCATTCATATCAAAATTCAAGGAGAAACAAAACTTCAAATGCAGCCGCAAACTCCAATTTCTTTAGGGTAGTCATGCATCTTAATTAGATGTTTAAATTACTTTGTGGACGTACGAAACGAATACAACTAAACAGTTAATTGTTCAAATAATCTGCAGTTCCATAATATTCATCCAAACTCTATAATTGTTCATAGAGCAGTATCTTAAAACATGGGCTTGAAATGCAGGGAAGAAGTCCAGAAATTACTGACATAATTCCTACCCATCCAGAAAAAAAACTATTTTCGATCCATTTTTCTAGCAACCTAAATATTGGCAGCATCATAGAATAGTGAATAAGGTAAAACAATAAAAAATATACCTTTCACTCACCTAGTGACCACGACCCATATAAGGTGCACCACCCTGTGGCGGCCTAACGCCACCTTGTCCCATCTGTGGCTGACCTCCATATCCTCCCTGCATCCCGGGCTGACCTCCATACCCACCTGCACCACTCTGACCTCCATAACCCGCATTGCTCATCCCTGGCATTACTCCCTGAGGATTCATACCACCTATCCCTCCAAGCAAATTCCCAATACCTAAGCCTGCACCCTGTGTTGCCAACAAAGCTGCCACTGCCTGTCCTAAAGCTGCAGGCGCCACTGAAGGATTGAACCCGACGGCAGGGACAGCTGATCCATGGCTTGGTGCCATCAGGTGCCCACCGCCGGTACCACTGCTCCCTACATACTTTCCCCTTTTCGCACTATGGTGATAATAACCTTGCTGCCCCTGGTGATGGTGCTGCTGCTGCTGCTGGGAAGTATGTTGGTTATAATGACCCTTACTATGCTTCGGACCATCTACTGCCTTCTGACAATGCAACGTGTGCCCCTCAAAATTCTTGTGCGGCTCCTCCAACGCTTTCTTTGCACTCTCCAGACTCTTGTACACAAACAAACAGAACCCTCTTGGTTTCCCAGTCTGCTTATCTAACCCTAACGGCCCTTCCTCGATCTCTCCAAACTTGGAAAAGAACTCCAACAATTTATTTGGATCGAGTTCTGCTGAGACATTGCTAATGTATATCTTCCTCTGTGTGTACTCGGACGTGGGCGGGTTGGGGAGAGTTGTCACAGCTGCCGGAGGAGCAGTCTGAACAGGGCCCGCAGACGCTAGCTGGCAGGAAGTCATCCGAGTCCCAATCTTCTTCTGAGGCTGCAACAAAGCTTTGCGGGCACCATTCCGATGCTTGTACAAAATAAATCCATAACCTTTTGATTTCCCGGATGCCTTATCTGTAACAACTTTACAGTCCTCGATCTCCCCGTACTTCCCAAACACGGAAGTAAGGGTATCCACATTCGCATCCCACCCGAGCCCGTGCACAAATATTTTACGATGGGACGGATCAGCATCAGCCAATTTGTGCACACTTTCCATGAAATCAGGGTATTTACTCACAGCCTCTTTGATCAGAACTGCTAACTGTTCTTTAGAAAAAGGTTCCAGTAGCTTCTCTATTGGCTCCTCCTCGAATTCTTCTTCCTCTTCTTCATTTTGCTCTTCGGCTCCAGTCTCGCCATTTGCTTGCTCTTCGCCTGAAACGGCGTCGTTCGAGGGCTTTTCCACATTTTCTTGTCCATTCTTCTCTGCGTCGGTCATAACTTCAATATTTTTATGCTCCTCCATGTTTTCTGGCTGCTCTTCCTCTTCCTCTTCCTCTTCATCTTCCTCCTCTTCTTCTTCACCTTCCTCTTCTTCCACTTCCACTTCCACTTCTTCTACTTCTTCAACTTCGGGTTCTTCTTCTTGGGTCGGCGGGTTTTCTTCTGGGTCTGGCTGTTCGATTTGTGGCTCCGGTTGGACAGGTTCGGGTTGTGGAGGAGCTACGGAGGCAGGAGCCTTTCGCTTTCTGGCCATGGAGATTTGGAAAGAAAAGATAGGGTTAGGGTTTCGAAGATTTAGGGCTTACAGCAAATGGGGCAAAATGGTGATATCTATGGGGTAGGGTTTGGTGAATATTTATATCAATCACCTTACAAATAAAAAAATACAAAGTCCTCAAAATATGTCCTATGTGTGCACTTAGCCCCTTTTTTATTTTTCATGACAGTGACATCCTCGTCTTATTGTTTATGATCGATAATAATATTATTAATTTCCCTCAATTTTATGGTTCCAACTTTCTTATTATTGGACACGAATGCAATAGGTTAGGGGCTATTTATGCAACAATTACCAAAAAAAAGTGAAAGGAAAAAAAAAAGGAACGGAATACATTTGCATTGTTAAAAAATTATAAGAAATTATCATAATACCGACAAGATGCTTGAGATATTTTAATATTCCGACACTCCAATATTTTACAAGCATAGTCAAGAAAAAAGTAAATAAAAGTTGTGAATTATATAAAATGTATGAATATTATTTAATCATCTTATAAGCACTTAAAAACTTTTACCAGTAAAAATCACCCATTATTATGTCTTAACAAAAAAATAAGAGACGAAATCAATGCTTCAACCGTCTGACTCCTTATCCTCCATAAAGTCAAAGATTCGTATTTTATCCTTCACAACTCGTTCTCTCGCACATTAGTGATTCCTTCATAGCTCGTTTTCAAGTGAACTGGTAATAAGTTTCTACTTTGTTTTTAGGGGAGGAGGAATTATGAGTCCGATGATAAAAAAAAATAGGATTATTAAATAGTGTAATGTCTCTAAACGAAAAGTTCCTTCTATTGCCCAAAATTTCAGATTTTCACCTAATAAAGAACGGATTAGTCTAAATGTACACAATGGATTATGTGTACATCTAGGACAACCCAGAAAGAACATAGAATAGACTTTAGTCCCCTTATGAATGAAGATGGTTTATTTTTGCACGTCCGCCGGTGATAGTTATTTCCCCCTAGGCATCAAATGGGAGATGTTCGAATAAAGACATTCATCCTCTTGTTTGTGCCTTTAGCGCACGTGATATGGAGTATTATGTAGCATTGGACATCATGACAAAAAAAAAAATTTCTTTTGTAGTATCATCGAGCAGTATTTAATCTTGCATCCCAAACACTCTCTTAGAAGCTTAGATTTTGTGCCCTCATCATACCTTCAAATACTAGTGTCCCATAGAAGTATATATAGAAAACAAAATATTTTTCTTTTATACCTATGACGTTGTTCTATCTTGTGAGTATAGCTAATTTTAGATAGAAATATCATGAGTTTGTTTGATAGAAATTAAAATTAGATTAAAATTGAAAAATTAGTCGTTATTGTTGACTTTTATTAAACGAGTGAGACTCAATAACGGGTATATCTTCAATTTTAATTGAATTAAAATCCCTCCCAAACATGAATTTGAGAAAATATTGGCTTTTGAACTAAGATCAACTTCGAGTGATCACTAGTTCAGTCTCATAAGTAAAGGGTTTGTAGCTCTGAGAATTGAATTTTAGTTGTTGGTTTACAGGAGGAACCTCGAGGAAGCTAAAATGTAGTGTGAGTAAGTATACTAGCGGCGAACTTCAAGTTTTAAGCCTTATTAGCTCGATGAACTTGTGGAGATGTATTTAGATAAAGTTGCTGAAAATTGAAAATGGAGATGAAATGATGTTTGTTTCGAGTGACACGATTATGAATTGGTGTATCGGTTATGTTAATTTGACAGTAGATTATTGGTCTATCTATGGATAAGTGCTCTCCATATTCCCTCTTGCATTCCAACGATTATTCATACAACATTACATGAAACTTCAAAAATTGAAAAAGGGCATATTTGATTGATTCCAAGAGCCAATTTGAGTGTGTTTCTATTTTTGTTTCTACTTCTTGTACAATAACTTACTAAGAAAATTATCTTAAATTAGCTTTCACAAAAATATTTTTAACCAGACAAAAAACTTCTGGAAATTATCACACATGTTCGAAAATAATTTATTAATCTTAAAAGCAACTTTTGATTTTGTCAAAAGCTCTGCCAAATAAGTTCAATTGTACGAAAAATCAACATTATGTAATTTATGAATTCAGTTTTTGAAATATTAATTTTCAAATAGAACAAAATCGAAACATTTCTAGGTAAATGAATCAAAATAAAATTATTAACGAGAAAAAAAGCTTGGGAGACTAACAAAATTTCAGCCTTGGAAGGCTTTTCCTACGCATATAAAAAGAGTGAGGAGGCTTGTCACTGTAGAAATTATGGTATGTCCAAAACGACACCGTTTTTGTGAATGGCAGAATGATGCCGTTTTGGTAATTGAATTTTTTTATATTTCCAATAATGCGACCTTGTTGTCTTAGGGTTTTTCTTCCGTCTTGTTTGTTTGAGATCTTTCTGTCTCTCTTCGTTTCGAACTCTTCTCTGTCGTCCCTTCGTCGTTGTCGATCTGGTACATCCTGCAAATCTGACTTCGGTTCCCTAGTCATCTAATTTTGTTCGTTGGTCTGCTCATCCTCGTCGATCTAACCGTGTTTTGTTTTTTTTTTGTTTTGGTGTTTTTTCCTTTGATCTTTTTTTTCAACTACTTTCAATTTTTTGGTTTTCATTGCCTTCCTTGGGTCGATCTAACTTTGTTTAGTCATTTTCTGCCTTTTGTTGCCTTTTTTCCGGTTATCAGTGTTCTAATTTTTGAAATTTTTTCACTGTCTGGGTTGATTCACGCTGTCAAAGAGCTTGAATCTTAGGTGGGTTCCTTCGATCTTTTTTTTTTCACCTTCTTTCAAATTTTAGGTTTTCATCACCTTCCTTGGGTCGATCTAGCTTTGTTTAATTGACGTGTGCCTTTTGTTACTTTTTTTCGAGTTATCAGTGTTATAATTTTCCAAAAAAATTTCCTATCTGGGTTGATTCTCGCTGTGAAAGGGCTCGGATCTTGAGTGGGTCGAAAAAAGTAAGGTTTTGTTTCTTGTTTCCTTGCTTGTCATTCATTTTCGAGGAGAAGATTATTCATTTTGTGTAATTTATTTACGTTATTTCTTGGACACAAGACGAAGAACGAGGTTGAAAGCAAAAGGGGAACACCTTGGATAGAAGAAGAACATAGGTATAACAATCACTCAAAGATTCACATTCCAATGGTCATGATTTTTGGCTAAATATTTAATTTATTTATTTTGTTCTGGATATAAAATGAGAATTCTATACAACCATTGAATTTATTTTTTAAACTTCAATTGAAAAGGAACGAAAATCTTTATTATTCTTAATGCACGTGGAAGGTTTTTTAATCTTGAGAATATCACAGAATTTTGGGTTTATACTCTATGAATTTCTTTCAGATTTTTTTTTGGGATAATTGTTTAACGTGGATTAAAAATCATATCGTTTCAATGTTGTTATTGAAAATTTCGGGAATGTAACTTCTTCTTTTGTTTGTGTCTATTGCCTTAGTTTGCAGACTCTTTTTTTCAACCAACTGTATCCCTCTGACCAGATGGTTGCCCCCATCCAGTAGATACATCCCCAACAGAAGCATTTTATATTTTCACTCACTGCCTCGAGCACTGCTTTAACCATAATCTACTTTAGCATCCGCTGAATTGTTCTATCCTTTAATAGCTTGAGTGTTACCTACATCATTCGCATCCCCTTTTGATTGATTCCAACCTGAACTCCAACTTCCTCCTTGAAATGAACTACCTCCAATGCTGCCACTTTTCCTTCCTTCATTGTTGTAGTTTGAACCTTTTTCCAGTCGTACATCTTGTCATCACCAGATTCATTTATGTTATTCCAATCACTACACCCCCTACCTCTAAAACCATCCCCCTACCACGAAATCCTCCTTCCATGTCAGGTCCATCTCTCTCTCCAAAACCTCTCCTTCCCATTCCTCTACCTCCATAGCCCCCACAATCTCATCTTCCTATACCCCAGAAGACACCGCGGTCACCTATCCTGTACCTACCTCCCCTCCAACTTCCATTATACTAATCTTAAAAATACCAACGGTGCAAGAAGTGAAAATGTGGATGGTACTATGCGTCCTATGGTGGTTGTGGAACAGGAGAGTAATTTGACGGAAAATGTGTATTTCACTCTTACTGCAATGACGTATGATCTGGCATGGGATTGTATGTGTGGGTGTGCATGTGTGTTGCCCGCGCTACACGGATGAAGTTCTCGCGTTCCACGCAGCGATCCCCCATTTTTTCATTCATTTGTCCTCTTTGCATTATTCCAGAACAAGCAGCAAAAAGCACTACAAGAAGAACCAGAAAACAATGTCGTCTCAACATCAACCACAACTATCACCCGTAACAGGTCAGAAAATAAAAATTAAGATATTCTATTTACCTTTCCCCAATTTTCTGTTAATACTCCTGTACAAAGAAATAACTAGCCAAAAGAGTCCTTGTTTGATTTTGGATTTTGGATTCATTTATTATAATCCTGGATTTTTTTATGGCGCTTTCAGGTCGTCTATTGTTTTATTTCATTTTTACTTTGCATTGGCATTTTTTTCCAGTCACCTTATTAAGATTATTAACTATGCACAATTGTATCTATAGTACATGTATATAACATGATATATGTGTTTGTTGCTTTAGAGAAATGGTTAAGATAATTGAAATGAGGGTTTTTTTTCTGAATTTCGTAGGCGACCTGAATGGTTCTAATGTAAATCCAGGTTTGTTTGTTGGAGTGGGTTGTTATATTCTTGGCCAATGAGATCAACAACTCATAGGCTCATACACCGTTTCTGAATTGCAAGGTGAGCCATTCATATGGCAAATTATTATCATAATGCTACACAATTTGTATGTTCAATATTCTGGTTGCTTGTAATTCGATTACTTAGTTTAAATTTCTCGCTTTCTTTTCAGATTAGCTCTTCCTTAAGTTCTTAGATTTTTTTTCTTGTTATTTCATTCAATTTCAAGTTTCCAAGTATGCCATAAGTTTGGTTTTAGGAC